AGAGGACACAAACAGATGGAAAAACTTTCCATGCTCATGGTTAGGAAGAATCAATATCATGAATGTGGCCATGCTGCCCAAAGTAATTTATAGATTCAATGCTATCCCCATCAAGCTACCTATGACCCTCTTCACAGAACTGGAAAAATAACCACCTTAAACTTCATATGGAGCCAAAAGAGAGCCTGCATAGCCAAGTCAATTCTAAGCAAAAAGATCAAAGCTGGAGGCATCACACTACCGGACTTCAAACTATACTACAAGCCTACAGTAATCAAAACAGCATGGTACTGGTACCAAAACAGAGATGTAAACCAGTGGAACAGAACAGAGGCCTCAGAGGCAATGCCACACATCTACAACCATCTGATCTTTGACAAATCTGACAAAACCAAGCAATGGGGAAAGGATTCCCTGTTCAATAAATGGTGTTGGGAAAACTGGCTAGCCATGTACAGAAAGCAGAAACTGGACCCCTTCCTGACACCTTACACTAAAAGTAACTCCAGATGGATTAAAGACTTAAACATAAGACTTAACACCATAAAAACCCTACAAGAAAACCTAGGCAAAACCATTCAGGACATAGGCATAGGGAAGGACTTCATGACTAAAACACCAAAAGCATTGACAACAAAAGCCAAAATTGACAAATGGGATCTAATTCAACTCCAGAGCTTCTGCACAGCAAAAGAAACAATCATTGGAGTGAACCAGCAACCAACAGAATGGGAAAAAATTTTTGCAACCTACCAGTCCGACAAAGGCTAATCTCCAGAATCTACAAAGAACTAAAACAGGTTTACAAGAAACAAACAAACAAACCCATTCAAAAGTGAGCAAAGGATATGAACAGACACTTTTCAAAAGAAGACATATATAGGCCAACAAACATATGAAAAAAAAATGCTCATCATCACTGGTCATTAGATAAATGCAAATCAAATCAAAACCACTTTGAGATGCCATCTCATGCCTGTTAGAATGGCAATCATTAGAAGATCTGGAGACAACAGATGCTGGGGAGGACGTTGAAAAATAGGATCACTTTTACACTGTCGGTAAGAGTGTAAATTAGTTCAACCATTGTGGAAGACAGTGTGGCAATTCCTCAAGGACCTAGAAATTCCACTTGACCCAGCAATCCCATTACTGGGTATATAGCCAAAGGATTATAAATTGTTCTACTATAAAGACACATGTACATACATTCATTGAGACCCTGTTTACAATAGCAAAGACCAGGAACCCAAATGCCCATTGATGATAGACTGGACAAGAAAAATGTGGCACATATACACCATGGAATACTATGCGGCCATAAAAAATGATGAGTTCACGTCCTTTATAGGGTCATGGATGAATCTGGAAACCATCATTCTCAGCAAACTGATACAAGAACAGAAAATCAAACACCCCATGTTCTCACTCCCAGGTGGGTGTTGAACAATGAGAACACATGGACACAGGGAGGGTAGCATCACACACTGGGGTCTGTTGGGAGAGACTTGGGGGGGACAGCAGTGGGTAGGGAGTTGGGGAGGGATAACATGGGGAGAAATGCCAGATATAGGTGACAGTGATGGAGGCAGCAAACCACCTTGCCATATACGCACCTATGCAACAATCCTGCATGTTCTGCACATGTACCCCAGACCATAAAGTGCAATAATATAAATATATATAAAAGAAAAAAAAATGGGTTACCTGATAGACATTTCTCTAAAGAAGACATACAAATGTTCACATTATTCTTTAAGACTGGAATGTTATGAAATGTTCTTTCTTCCATCCTGAAGGTCCAAATTCTGCCCATCCTTTAAGATTTAACTTTCATGTCACCTGCTCTGAAATGCTTTTCTCAATCTACTTATTAAATCCTCCCCTTCTCCTTTGAATTCCCACAGTATTTTTTCCAATTCCTGCTTAGAGCACTTGTTATTTTAGTTTCTGCTTTTTGGATACAAAGCCAGCCTCCACTGTTTAAATGTAAGCCCCCTAAACCAGAGACCCATTCTTAGTTCACCTTGGCATTGCCTACAACATGTACCCGGGCCTTTACATGTACACAGCAGGGACTCAACAAATTCTCGTGGAGTAGGAGATAAGGGTTTGGAGCCTCCAGGCTACAGCTTTGGCTTTCATTTCACCTTTTAAAATGTCAGTGGCATCATCTGTGGTGAGTGGGTTCTGTTGGCATCTCAAAGAGTTAAAGGAGGCGGTGAGTCATCAGGGCTTTCGGAATACTGACTGGTTCCAGGTGACTATTTAGAACAGGCAGTCAGAAAACTAAAACAGAATTTTTTTTTTTTAAACTCAACCTTAAAACTCCTCCTATTTTAACCTGAACAATACAACTCTTTCCAAACTATGGAGCTGAACAATCCCTCTCATTATTTCAATGAAACAAAAACAGACATTTAAACTCCAAAACAACAACAAAAATCCCCAAGCCCCTAACCTTCCTTGGCCTTGTCAGGCTGCTTGTGCAATGACTCTGCAGGGCTCTCTAGGGGACCATGAATTTGGTTTCATTTTCTAATTTGAAGGGAGTTATTTTCAGTATAAAGTGGTAAAGTGGAGGTGAATGGGAGATGGGAGAGGGTTGTCAAAGGGGAGACAGTTTCACAATAGTTTCAGAAATGGTCAGATTTACTTACTTTCTGCATTAGAAGCAGTCCTGGGGACAGTTAATAGAAACTGATAAGACTGACATAAGGCGGAATTACTTTCAAAACAACATACGTATTAAATTTTTTTTGTTTTTGGTTTAGTTTATATAAGCTTCTTATATATAAAATAATGCAGTAATAAAAGCCTGATCAGCTCCTAAAATCTTAAACATTGTAATGAACTATTCCGTTACCTGTTTCTTTGCCTCCTTGATTCATCCACAATTTTCATCCTATTTGTAGCTTTGCCAAAAAAAAAAAAAAAAAAATCAATCCCCAATGAATCCCTCCCCCAAATGGTTAGATCATTATCAGTCCATTTGTGAGCCTACCTCTGTTTACATTGGTAGAACTATATCCAATGACAGTTAAAACAACTAAAAAACCCTTTCAAATAGAAGGTTCTTCTCCAAAACTTTAACCTCATTTGTACTTGGTCTTTACAAAAAATTTCCATTATTTTTTCAGTGATTTTCTATTCAAGTAAACTTATTTCATCCTCCAAACAAAACTATAGTCTGTCTCAATAGCAATATCAAGGGAGGAAAAGAGTTACTCAAAGTCTTGACTATAATTATAAGGAAGGAGAGTGATTATAAGATGCTGTGGGGAAGAAGAATTATGACAAGGGAGATGGTGTGGGCAAGAAGACATAGAAATAGAAAAGGTCTGGCACACAACGAGGGGCTGGGCAGTGATATCTGCGGCCATTTCTCCATGAGTATAATAGTGTGTGTCTTTGGAAAAGGCCATTAAACAGAGCTCCCTCTATCCTGAGCCATGAGGCTCTAACAAGAGTACTGATTTTATTTCAGCAGATATGCCAATCCCATGCTCTCTATGGCCAACAATGTCAACTGGGGAAATTGTGGGGCCAGGAAAGGCACTCACTGCTTCTTATCTCCATGAAAAGCCTCGGCAGCCACACAGACACTTGGGGGCCAATTCTTACCCTTACCTGCAACATCCAATCTGCCACCGATCCCTGTCCACTCGACCTCATAAATGCTTCTGATGCCTCTGCCTCTCTCGCATCATCCCTGTCCTTCAGCCTGGCCTGTTGCCATGGCCTCCTAACTGGTTATGCAGTCTTAGTGTCCTCTGCCAATCCCTTCTGCCCACGTCAATCAACCTGTCTTCCCAGCCTCTCACTCTCCAGATTCTAACCAGACCCGGCTTTTGTACTTCCTAAAATGCTCCTTTCCACCACAAAGGCCTGGAAAGCTATTCAAGCCACTGATTCTCTCTGTGGCAGTATTCCTTCTAGCCACATCTCTACCTTTACTCCCCTTTTGGGATTTTTCTAGTTTTTACTGGAAGTTGGGTTCTTGGTATGTGCTTTCTCAGTAATATAGACATGTACTTTTGTAATCGATTGTTCTTTTTTTGGGGGGGGACGGAGTTTCGCTTTTGTTGACCAGGCTGAAGGGCAATGGTGTGATCTCGGCTCACTGCAACCTCCACCTCCCGGATACAAGCGATTCTCCTGCCCCAGCTTCCAGAGAAGCTGGAATTACAAGTATGTGCCACCACGCCTGGCTAATTTTGTATTTTTAGTAGAGATGGGGCTTCTCCACATTGGTCAGTATGGTCTCAAACTCCCGACCTCAGGTGATCTGCCTGCCTCGGCCTCCCAAAGTGCTCTCTTCCCTGTCAGTCTGTACATACTCTGAGGTCAGAGCCTGCATTTGCCCGTGTATGCTTTCCTCTGTAATATGAAATAAAACAAGAACTTATAGGATAAAGATTAAATGAGTTAATCCAGGCAGAGAACTTAGAATAGTACTTGATGTATATAGGGGCTATGTAAGCTGTGGCTATAATTATACTTATTAGCATTATGCCTAGAATAAAGGATGCACTCTATAAACATTCATCAAATGAAAGAGGAATGAATAAAAGAATGAATAAATTAATGAATTCAGCAGTCCAAATGGCCACTTATTTTTCCAACCACCAAAGATGTATAGAAAACTACCATAGGGAGGAATTATTGATCTTCATTAATAATTCCACTGTCATCATGATAAATGGTAAATAGCATTTTTGGTTTCCTGGGATTTTGAGTTCGTTCTACTGTGTTGCTGAAAAAAATATTCAAAGCAAGGAGATATAGAATTAAGAGATAAATAACTGTAATGTCATAATACATATTTCCATGCTTCTCAATCTTGCCTTAACTAAAATACGTGCTTCTTAATGAGCACCACACTGCTTAATTATTCCCAGGCTGAATCCTTCAGAAAACCACGAGTGTTAGGTAGACCATTCCGCATGTCTTTACACAAAAAATTTCAACTTCGGTTGCCAAAAAGGGAATGGCTTTACCCATTTGTTCCAGTACATTCCATAGGTCTGATTCCTCAGTGTCTTTAAGGGAAAGGCATCAGCCACCTGTGTGCACATCATTCTCTGCTGGCCTAACAGAAACATACATGAATGAACTTGAGCTCCAAGCACAGTCTGTAGCAGTAGGACTGCCACACCATTAAAAAGCTGGAAACAGGAAAGGTGGCTCTGAGTTGGCCCAACCCCGCCAAATGCTATTATCTGACAAAGTTTTCTTAATTTATTGTCATTTAACACTGTGGTAATATTTTAAAATAGTTTTCCTGCAGGTAGCTCATTTGGATTTAGAAATAAATACTGCATCATCATCACATCACCAATATCTGATCTTATTCTTTCCTTCCCATATCAGAGAAAGGCTTTTATTCCATTTCTTTAAAGTTAGCTTTTTTACTCTTACCCTGAATCCATCTATTATACCGCTGAATTCTGTGAAAATTCATAATTGGGAATAGAGGCAGCAAACCACCTGGTTGTGTATGCACCTATGCAACAACCTTGCATGACCTTCACATGTACCCCAGAACCTAAAGTCAAAAAAAAAAATCATACTTGGTTCCTCTCAGTTCAGTCATCAGTTTGGGAAACTGGTATTTAATTTAAGAGAATTGATAGTTATGAAAAATAATTCTAACAGAGAAATTGTTTGAGCCTTCATCCTGATACATTTAAAACTAAAGGGCGCTACACTGAAATCCATTACAGACAATGAGAAATACTGGAGATTTAGTCAACTGACCTGTTTTCTTGTGGAGCAAACTGGATCTGTACCCCAAAGTGCTGAAGTCCTGGGCCTGCGAGGGAGCTGAGGGTAGTAGCATTCTTTGGCCTTCTTCTGGGTTTCCCAGGGGGAAGGGTGGGCTCTGAGAGTGTCTGAATTCATGCCTACCCTTGGCAGGCAAGTAGAGAGCCTCCTGAACTTTCTTCTTTTCTTTTTTTAACATGTTGACCAGGATATCTGAAAGTTGACTTAAGGATTTAATGACTGATGCTAGCTTATAGTAATCAAAACGCGAATGTCCCAAGTGTCATTAATGTGCCTAACATTTGCTATTTATCATATGGCAAAGACTGACTGAAGGAAGGCTTCAACTTCCTGAAGCCCTGTATATAGTTATGGACAATTTAGGAGGCTTTCTTTCAATATAGCACCATTATATGAAAAATTAGCAAACCCAAGGACTTTAAAATGTTCTGAGTTTAAACCAGGTACATCTTAACAATGTTATGAAAGTGCTTATAAAAAGTCAAATGAAGGCTGAATAGCAGCAGACAATAGACTATGTATACATCTTCCCAGATAAAAGGTGAATTTACTTACATAGCCTATGTATACGTATCAGCCCCCTGGTTGAGCACACGCCTGCTCAGGAGGCAGCAGAAGAGCAGAGCGGGAGAATGGTGAAACCCACCCAGCTGGCAGATCAGCCATCTTCCTCCTGGTGGCCAGTGTGGTGACAAAGGTGCAGCCACGCACTCCAAGCTCAACACATGCTTATGTAGAGTACCTTCAGATGAGGGCTTTTTCAGCCACTAATTTTCGTACTCAAATGGAACTGAAAAGAAGTGAATTATTGGCACAGACACAACATTTTAAAATGCGCCTTTTGGGGGCCATTGAGATATGCCAAGACCATTGATGATAAAGGACAAAAGCACTCCCCTCTACCCTACTTCGCCGTTCATTCTGGGCTCAAGATGCCTAGAATTCTAAGAGATTTTTGTCCAATCTGCTAAAAGGAATGACTAGAATCCCTATTGAGAATCTCAGAACTCTAATTGCATATGTGGTAAGACGAATTCAATGCCTTTGCATCCCTAGAGAAGGCTCATTAAAATGGGAGTCGAAATGTGCGATGGTGTGGGAGAGAACACTACTACTTAGAAAGGGGGAGAGGTACCCAGGTTATATTTATTCTTGGGCAAGCAGCATGGAAGTCATTTGACCTTCACCTTCCACCTCAGCTTGAACTCCCACTTGGTGATTTCTGGGAGCATAATCAGTTTCTCTCTCTCTGATGTGGCTTTCATTCCTTGCCCCAAAACAACACGTACTTACCAAAAACGTTCACAGCTTCTTAGTATCTAAGCATGAACACGACAGAGATGAGGGCTCTGGCTCAATGCGCTGCTCCTCTTTGTATGGAACTGATTACCAATGTCATCATACACTTCCACTGGTTCACACACTGCAATGGCAATATCCGTTTGCTCACTCAGTCAGTGATACTTGCTGAAGCTTGTGCTACAGATGCCAGGCCCTGTTCTAGGCATGGGTATAGAGCAATGACAAGGCAGGCTAGTCTTGCCCTTATGAAGCAGATGTCTTACTGGGGAAAGAGATCTCACACATGCGTGCAGGCACACGCACGCATACACAAAGTCAGAATGCCAGATATCTAATTTGAAGAAGCTCAAGGGTGACTGGGTGGCTGCTGCTACAAAAGGCCTAAGAGTAATCTTTAAGCTGAGATCTGACCCATACGAAGAACCAGCCAGAAGAAGAGCGTCTATGCAGAAATGATGAAATCCCTAAAGAGAAACAGGCCCAGCAGTGGCTCATAATACTGCAATCCTGTGATCCCACATCACACAACGCACAGGAGAGCTCCCACAATGAAGGATTATCCAGCTGCAAATGTTGATAGTGCCAAGGCTGAGGAACCTCGTGTTAGAAGAACGACAAGAAGGTAACTGTGACTGAAGCAGAGCACACGTGGGATGAGGTGTGAGAAATGAGGTTGTGGGTGGGCAGGGCAAGATCCCCCAGGGCCTTGTAAACCGGAGCAAGGAGTTTGGTTTCATTCTAAGTATCATGGGAAGCCCCTTGAAGATTTCCATCAGAATAGTGATGCGTTCTGAAGTACCTGTCATAAAGATCACAATATCAATCTATCTTCTGTGCTGCCTTCCTTCTTCTCACCTTTCCCCTGCCTTCTTGTCCTCCCCACTCCCATTTACGGGAGTGGCCTTGGTGCCAAGCACTTTGCTGGGTAATCAATTCCGCTGTCATATATTTTATGAAGGGTGTGTGAACGTCACTCAAACTGACGATGTCACTGACAGGACATCATTTTCACTCCCTTTCCAAGAAGATCTGATGTTGTTCACAATCATGTGGGTGCATGACTGTCTTTTGTTAAACTCAATTATAATTGCTTTTTTTCCTAGAAGCTAGATCTTTCCCATTTGTTGTGTCACAGTCTTAGCCTTCTGGGTTCTACAAAGAAAGACATGAAAACATCCTCCCATCCGACTCTGCATAACTGTGAAACTTCAGGAGTCTTTCTTGGTTGTTGATCTTTGATAAGCACAGCTCTGAGATGATTATATCTTAGCTGCTATTCTTCCTTCTTCTGAGCTTACTCATTGTCGTCATAGTCATAATTCCAATTACATCACACTCGGTAGTGCTCAAAGCACTTATGGACTTTTCTTTTTTCTTTTTTTTTTTAGATGGAATCTTGCTCTGTCACCATGCTGGAGGGCAGCGGCATGATCTCAGCTCATTGCAACCTCCACCTCCAGGACTCAAGCGATTCTCCTGACTCAGTCTCCCGAGCAGCTGGGACTACAGGTATGTGCAACCACTCCCAGCTAATTTTTATATTTTTAATAGAGACAGGGTTTCACCATGTTGGCCAGGATGGTCTTGATCTCTTGACCTCACGATCCGCCTGCCTCGGCCTCCCAAAGTGCTGAGATTACAGGCTTGAGCCACCATGCCCAGCCACTTATGGGCTTTTCTCAGCAGGTCTTATGCTGTTGCTCCTAAAGAATAAAAAGCAACTACATTGAGTAGGTATACAGCTAATAAATGAAGAGCTAGGATTTCAATCCAGGTATGAATTGAAGTGCAATATTCTTTCCACTCTGACTCTCCATCATTTTGAATAAGCGTCTCAGATAGAGGGAGCGCTGTTTGAATTGCTGACAGTCAGTTAAGAATCTAGAGTAGCCCCACATGAACAGTGATGCCTGGAGTCACCACAGTGAAGGAGGGGAGGTGATGGATATCTCCCTTTCGCTCTCTTTTTAAAATAAACATATAGGAACAAGCTTGGACTGTTCTTTCTCTGTCATATCTCGTTTCATCCCTCCTATATGTGCAGACATTCATAAGCCCAGACGGGGATTAAGAAGTTGGTAGGAGGAATTAAAGGAGAAGATCCTAGACTAGGATCAAGGCCAGGAAAAGAAGCAGAGCTCAGGCTGGGGCTGGGGCCAGGATTGAGGTCCAGGCGGAGACCATGCTTGGAGATGGACGGTGTAAGAGGAAGGAAAGGGAATGCAAGGGTGACAACACCGTGGGCAGCACTGACGGATGAAGGCTTGCGTCGGGGTGGGGGTAATTCTCAGCTGAACCCACTGTTCCTGGCCAGATAACAAGCCAGCTAAACTCACTTGAATCTGACACACAGGGTCTGCTAATACTCAAGTAAAATCAGAGACCCAAGTTAATCAGGCAGCATGCCTACCTCACATTTGGTCTGTTTTTACCTCTTTATTACTGGACTTCCTTTGTGTAGACTAGTTTCATGCATTTTGCATAAACAGCTGAAGCGAAAGTGTCTCTTAGTAATTTTTTAAAATGAACAAAAATATCTGTTTGTAAAGAACAGACCAAAAGGATTTCTTGTGCATGTTCAAATTCTGCAAAAGCAATGAAAATATCAAAATCTTTTTACAAGAAGCTTGAAAGATAAAATGAGAAACAATACTGAATAATGATCTGGGAGGCCTGAGGGCCACCCAGCCCGACAGGGGCTCCTTAGAAGTAACCGTTTAGTCTACAACTAGAGGCAGCACATGCTCCCATGGGCTACTACCACTTTCAGCACCCAAAATACACTGCCTCCTGGAGCCAATAAGAATTCTATCTTATTTGGTACTGATCAGTTTAGCTAAAAAAAAATAAAAGAATTCTATCTTGAACACTCATCTATACTCACTTCCGAATTTGGGAACATTTGTAAGTGGAACTCACAGCAGCAGATCTGGCTTTTAAATAAGAAGTTAAATTTAAATCAATCTCTGCTCTTCATAAGCTAAATACCATTTGTCGTTTTTCAGCCATCATTTGAGTTTCACCCACGCACCAGCCACAAATTCTGGGCCATGGTGAGGCTGTGGTCAGCCTGGTGTCCGGTCAGCTCGCTAAAGATAACCAGCTAACTTACTGGCTCAGGGCTAAAACAAAAAGAACAAACAGAGGAGCCAAACAATGTATTTTTAAAAATTAATGTTAAAAGATGGTGTAAAAAAGCTCATACTTTAAAATAAACTAAAATGTTCCTTGCAAGAGTAACCATGTCAGGCTAAAAACAAACACATTTTTTTTTTCTTTTATAGAAACACTTTTTCACTAGTTGCAGTACTTTGCTGAAGGGACATTTGACTTCTCAATGGAAAGAAGCAATGTGAATTGGAAGCTAGGTGGGGAGCTCAGCCATGCGGCTCGGGAAAGACTGTTGTTCACCCCTTTCAAACCAGGAGAGAGGAAGTTTCTTCATCATTTTAGAAAGGATACTGATTTCATTATCTCTCTGCTTTAGAATATCTTGTAGCTTTCTATATTCTTCCTCTTTTAATGGTTCTTGGCAGTCTTGGTCTTTGCCTTCAGAGGAGACTGTATTGTTTCCAAGGATCTTCTTGTCATTCAGTAGTTTCTGTAAGATGAAGTAAGAGCTTAGCATCCATATCTCTAGTCCAAATTTCTTTGTTTCTTTGACTGTTTTTCCTTTAACCATTCCCTGCACACATCAGGCATGTGTGACCTGCCTGAGGCAGGTGCAATGCCTTTGCGATGAAGTTGCTTTTTTGGCTTGGCATGTTTTCTCCCTTCAACCTGCCTTCTTTTCCCTCTTTCTTCCCCAACCCCCTCAGCCCCCTTGTATCTTCTCTCTCCTTCCCTAACTTGGGAAATTCCTACTCAACATTATCTCCTCTTGGACTCCTTTCCCTTTCTCTATATACCATTCCACTTAATTCACGCTTTTATTCTAGTACTTATCATGTATTGTGATTATTCTTTACAACATCTGTCTTCTCCATGACTTGCTTATTAAACTCTGCCTTATCTATACCTGGCCCTTAGTAACTCACAACAAATGTTTATTATATTAATGAAGTATGCAAAAATACAAGCCAGCTAGAAGTAAAAGGGATGATATTCCCAGCCCTTCATCATGAAAATTAAAACCTAAGGCAGAGAAAAACTGAAATATCATATGTGTATATCAAACTGTTGAAAAAATGCAGAATGCAATGCTCTTGATATAGCTTGAAAAATATATATATAATTATATATGTATATATAGGAAAAACAAATTATATATATACAAAAACAAATATATATATAATTATATCTATCTATATAGTTGCACTTTAGGTTCTGGGGCACATGTGCAGATCATGAAGGATTGTTGTACAGGCACATACATGGCAATGTGCTTTGCTGCCTCCATCCCCCTGTCCCTATAGCTGGCATTTCTCCCCATGTTACCCTCCCCAACCTCCCTACCCCACACTGTCCCTCCCCTGTTCCCCCCAACAGACCCCAGTGTGTGATGCTCCCCTCAGGGAGGAAAATATATTTTTTAAAATATGGAACTATTGTGTGCAGAAGGTAGAGGTTCCTGGCAAAAGAATTAGAAGTCCATGGCCTGAGTTTATTTATTGGCAAGTAAGACATAATCTCTGAAGAAACTCAATGATAATCAGACTATTGGTTCAAAGACCATATCATTTTCTGGGTATATAATGCTGGATCCTAACCTTCCAAGAATTGGTCAACTAGAAAAGCTTTTTTGCAGCTTGAACATGGCTGAAAATGGCTTTATTGGGGAAACATTTAAGTTTACCTTTAAATGATGAAAACAGTGATGAATTTTACGCATATCAGCGCCAACCTCTAATCTACTCTCTGGATCCTGGTCTTCCAGAAAGGATGTTATTAGTTTTTCCAGCCTAAAAATACATAATGTATGAGAAGCAACTGTGAGCTAGACGCTTTAGAAATTCTAATGGCATTACCTGGTTGGTTAACATTTAAAGTACAGGATATTGTTCCACCTCTTTATAGAAGTACATATTTGACTATAAAAATTAAGGGAAAAACACTGACAAAGTGAAATCTGTAATGAAGCAATTATTTGACTAATTTCCAGTAAATTTTCATATGAAGCTTTCATTATAGGAATCATCTGATTTCTACACTCAATCCATTTTAGCCACTCCGAATTTCTATGCCCCTGTGCCTGGCTGCTGCGTTTGCTAGAAAAAGTAACAAGAATATTTTTTAAATTAATTTCACTAAAAATTCATGCTACTCTGCCTCAGCTGGCACCTCAGTGATGCCCCACTATCTTTGTAATCATTCCAGGTGATCTTCCATTCTTCACAGTGCCTATTCCAAGTCTTTCTACAGCCCCCAAACCTACCACTACTCTTTCACACTCTGTCAGTAAAGTCACTTCTCACCAGATGGAGAAAGTCACACAGACCCCTTTGTTTCCTCCTCCTTCACCCCACTGCTCAGGCCCTCTCAGGCCCTCTTCCTGCCTCTGTAGATTCTGGATGATATTCTTCCTCTGTCTAAGGTCAGTCTCTCCCCTGGGCTCTCTCTTTGCTTCTTCCAGGGCATATCTAGTTAACTACCTCTTTTCCCTTAATCACCTCTTCATCTCCTCTCTATACTGATTCTTTCCTCTCTGCTTACAATCAGTTTGTTTTTCCTAACCTAAAACAAAACAAAATAGAAAACAAAACACCTACCTTTGGAGGGATGAACCACTCTATTCTAAAGTCCTAGTTTGGCTGGGTGCGGTGGCTCACGCTTGTAATCCCAGCACTTTGGGAGGCTGAGGTGGGCAGATCACTTAAGGTCAGGAGTTCAAGACCAACCTGGCCAACATGGTGAAACCCCGTCTCTACTAAAAACACAAAAACTAGCTAGGCAAGGTGGCACGTGCCTGTAATCCCATCTGCTCAGGAGGCTGAGGCAAGAGAATCACTTGAACCCGGGAGGCAGAGGTTGCAGTGAGCTGAGATCGCACCGCTGCAGTCCAACCTGAGCAAAAGAATGAGACCCTGTCTTTAAAAAAAAAAAAAAAAAAAAAAAGTTGTAGTTTATTCATAGCACTGTGTGCCCATGTAGCATTCTAGTACTTCATCTCAGAGGGAAATTCTTGGCTCTCATTTGTCTTTGTGCTTCCTCTACCCCTAACATTAGGTTCTCAATACAAATATGTTCACTAGTTACTGGATTCATTGCCATGGAAATGGTTGTCCTCTATGTTGAGATGGAACTCTTAAAAAGGAAGGTGTAAGGATGACAATCAGTATCTATGATGTTAGGTGTCATAATACAGAGGCAGCACACCTTCCTAAGACTATTATGAAAATACCTGCATACTTTTGGCATCTTTTAAAGCTGTATATACATGCTTCCTTTTTGCTATTATTATCAGGCCACTCAGATAAGATGTAATGATTTCCCTCATACAACAGCCTTGGATTTCATTTTTAGCTCTTGTAATCTGTGACATGTATCAGCTATATATTTGCAAGTGTGAGACAATTTATACTGTAATTTTAAAGGAGTTTCTTCAGGAGAAGAGACACTTGTCATTTGCACTATTTGCCGGTTGACTTTGTGTTTCCTTTTGGAATAGAGCTTCAAACCACTAGATATACAGAGAGGTTTATTCCTGATACATTTTTTAAAAAATTATGTAAAGTACTATGAAAATACATGTTTACAAACAAAATTCCAAACAATGCAGTAGTGAATAAATTAAAAAGTGAAAATGTCTCCCACTTCTTTGCCCCCATCCCCCCAATTAAAAAAAATTTTCAATACCTTGGATAATCCACTGTTGATGGTTAAAATATATTATTCTTATTCTTAATGAAGCAGATACCTATACCTATATATTCATTTATACATTTTGGTTTTATGTTTTTACAAAAATGAGATCACACTCTGAATAATGTTTTGCACCACTATATTTCTAAAGAAATTATGACAGATGAGCTTCCCCATCAGTGCATATCCAGTAGAAGTATTTCATTTCTAATGGCCATATAAGATTCCATACTATGGATGTACTATTCTCTCTTGATGGACACTGAGGTGACACAGTCATACAGTTGCCACTTTCGTCTGTAACCCATGAGGAGGCCTTGATCTACAATGCTGACTTAATGAGGCTTAAAAAATAGCAATGTTTCTCTACTTGTATTTTCCCTGAATACATGGAAGAAATTTTGAAATTTTGAAAATCATCATGGGTTCTAGAATAGACACCAATTCTCTAGAGTGAAAGCACTCTGTGATATCCAGCATCCGTAAAATTTCTAGCAGACAATATTGAGTTGGAAGTAATGGTTAATCAATTCTTTCTTCCTGCTTTTTCTTTAGAAAACAACTTCTGTGTAGTTTAAACGCAAGAATATATTCTAGGAAACGTTTTCTGAAGGAAGGCTGAAGTGGACTCCTGGGTCGGAAGAAAACCTCGTAAGATACAAGCCTGCTGATGAGCTGGACCGCTCACAGATTGCTCACGTGCCCTGGAGTTTGGCAATTCCTCCAAGGCTCCTGTCCCACACAGTAACACTGTAGGATACAAGGAGGACCAGCAACGTGATCCAAAGGAATGGGCAAGAATTTCTGCCTAAGTAAAAGAACTGATGGCTTTACTCTTTCTGGGGCTCCATTAGTCTAGTACATGATTAAGAAGGAAGATCAGCATTTTGACGTGCAATTTTGGTTTCAGCACTTGAGAACACAGAGATAAGAAACATGCCTGGTCTTTCCTTCATACATTTGATTTATCGTTGGATTTATTTTCTTATCAAGCAAGGACTTGGTCTAATAATTAAAATGCAGAAAAATCCTTAATTCAGATGTTTTTGTTGTACTCCTCTCGCAGTTGAGAGTGAACAAATGACCCCAAATTCCCCACATTTTCCTATCTCCTAAAATAGTCTCCAAGTTTATACCTAGTCCCTGCTCCCACTGAGGGGTCTCGCAGCTGCCAGAACTCTGCTGAACAGTGGAAAACTGTTTACAGAAAAGGAGGTCAAATGAGTACAACAAAGTCTATTTTTTAGGACAAGCCCAAGTCAATAAGAACTTTCCTTATTCTCTACTTACACTAGAAGAAAAGAAGGAAGAAAAAAGAATGCTAGGGGAAAGAGAAAATACATGTACACCATTCAGTAACAAGAAATATCGTAATATTTTAAGTGTGTGGGAACACACAACCTCACTGATGGTGGGTGATGGTTTGATGTTTGGTGACTATGCAGATCTCAGCCAAATTGACTGATAATGAAACACCTCTGACAGCCTGTGTCCTGGTTCAGCAACTCCCTCATATTAGAAATTATGATACCTGGCCACATAATTAGAACTGATCATATTTCCTAATATGTGCTTTACCCTCTTGAGACCACTGTACTCCCCTCTCTGCTCCTTACACTCCTTGCCAAAAAAAAAAAAAAAGTTCTCTCTGTAGCCATATTTCCATAAAAATTCAGGTTTAATAGCATGAATAAAAAGATAAAGCAAGCTTATCATTAACGACAGCCAACATTGAGCATGCACTAAATGCTGGACACTTCTGTGCTATTTTCATACATCATTTCCTTAATTCTTACAACAACCCTGTGAGATAAGTACTATTATTATCCCTGTATCATAGGTGAGGAAACTGAAGCACAGAGATATTACATATCTTGTCCAAGGTCACACAGCAAGCAAACAGGTAAAATCCAAGTTTTGAAGCATGATACTTACCATACTATAACAAGGTTACTCAGTTATTCAAATATGTATTTGAATCCCATATTGGGTGATGTGTTTCTAAAAGGGAGAACCCACACCTGCAAGCATTCATTGAGGAGGCAAATAGGTGGATGAAGAAGCAAGAAATAACTGAAAAGCAGGTGCTTAGATCTTAGCAAGGCCATGGCCTACCATGCCTTGTAACAGCAAAAAAAGTTGGGAAGGAATCAGAATGTGCCATATTTGAAGATTAGTTAATTATGGCATAGCTATGTACACAGTTAAGCAGCAATTTAAGTGATGTAACTAGGGGCAAAAATAACAGAAGCATGCAGCAGAACAGTATTATTCCAGAGAATTTACTAGAAACAAGGCTTGGGGGATGCGATGCAATGGGAATGCATCCTCTGATATCAAGCTGGAAATAGTGAGGGGCATGAAAAATACCCCAGTTGGTGAATCTGGGCTTGCTGGTGGTAGATCCATGGAAATTGGTATTCCAGAGTTGATAGTTCTCAGCTCCACTGTCTTCTCACTGGTTTTGGGAGAGGATTTGACAGCTCATTCCAGAGAGCTAGAAAGGAGTTCTAGCTACAAACCTAGCTTGTATTAATGATGCCAAATAAATGTCAAAATCTGCTTCACTGCTACCACCCATTTTGCCACTGAAGATAGCTCCACTGAGGGTGAGTTATCTCTGACAGGGTTAGACATGGGGATATGGACAAATCAAAGCTACATATTACTTGAGCAAAGATTGGGAAAAGAATAGGGGATAGTGATAAAGATATAAAAGGACTTCATTCTTTTCTATGGCTGAATAGTATTCCACTGTGTACATATACCACATTTTCTTTATCCATTCATCTGTTGATGGACACTTAGGTTGATTTCGTTTCTTGGCTGTTGTGAATAGTGCTGCAATAAATATGGGAGTGCAGATACGTCTTCCATATGCTAATTTCCTTTCTTTCAGATATATACCCAGCAGTGGGATCGCTGGATTGTACAGAAGTTCTAGTTTTAGTTTTCTGAAGTATCTCCATACTGAAATCCTGTCATTTGCAACAACATATGTAGAAATGGAGGATATTATGCTAAGTGAAATAAGCCAGGCACAGAAAGACAAATATCACATGTTGTCACTCACACGTGGGAGCTAAAAAAAAAAAAATTA